AGGGAGAGGGGGGTGTGGGGGGAGCGTCGTCCTCTCCATGGGGGGACGTAGGGGCAGCGTCGGGCCCTCTCTAGGGAGAGGGGGATGTGGGGGGGTCCTGTCAGGGCTCTCTGGGATGCTCACCCAGTACGGGGCGAGCGGAGGGAGGTTTCTGCAGGACCCCCTTGGCAATGCGGGATGAACCTGTGTCACATCGGAGCCCGTCCACGAGCGCCTCGTGGAGATGCAGACCCGATGAACCCTTGATTTGCCAGGTTTAGTGGGCCTCTGAGAGCCAGGGGAGATACTGCGTCAAGGCAGAAGGGAGGCTCTCTTCTCACTGCCAAGGTATTGAAAGCAGATACTGAAAAATAATTCCTGCCCTTGTGCAGGAGAAGGGATGGAGAGGATCAGTAGTGGCTCTAGATGCTGAATAATTGAATTCCGTGAGTTTGAGGCGTCAGGAGCGGATCTGTAAGAGGAACATGGGTTCTGTGTTCGGGAGTTTTATGCATGTCAGCTCAAAGGCTTTTGTGTTTTCAAGGGTCTTGGGAACTCCCAGAGGGAATATGAAAGGCAGGTTGTGCTCTATAGCATCCGCAATCAGCTCCGATACCGGAATAACTTAGGTGAGTGGCAAACAGTGTAACTTCTAATTGCTGCCCGATTCGCTGTCAAGAAAAATCTTCTCATCAAGAAAAATCTCAACAAAAATCTCAACCTCTTTTAGCACCTTTTCTAGGAAAGTGCTTTTTAGAGTTACTGAGCTCTAGAACTGGATTCCTGCTACAGTTGTTGCTGTGTGGTTAAGCTGTTCTATTCAAAGAAGTTAAGACCTGTCAACTGATGACCTGACTGACTGACAAAAACAAAATGTGTTTAAATTTATTTATTTAGTTTCTATTCTGAATTTATTTAATTTAGATGAGATGCCAACAGATGTCCCAACTTGTATGAATTAGTGGCCATGACTTTTTTGTAGAGCTCCCATTTACTTTGCATTAACTGCAGCATTAGATAATAGTTGTATTAAAAGATAATTTCCCACTATTTTCCTGCACTGCATTTGTCTTAATGGGTCATTCCCTGATAACCTGCGAACTAAACTCGCTCTAAGTGTGATTGATTTAATTTTATTTTTAAGGCCCTGAGTATGTGTATCACATGTTTAAGTCCTTGACTGTTGAATACCTTGCACCACTCCTTTATTTTTAGTTTTCTGTCAGTTGTCATTGTCCTGTATTCTTTTGCTTCTGTTTTATTTTTTATTCAAATTTTATAGAACAGTCTAACTTTTTTTCCTCCTCTTCTCTTGTAGTTAAGCATGTCAAGAAAGATGAGCGCAAATACTATGAGGATCTGTTGAAATACAGTCGAGACCATCTCATGTTATACCCCTATCATTTGTCTGACATCATGGTAAAAGGCCTGAGGATGACACCGTTTTCATACTACACAGGCATAATGGAGGTGAGCACAGAACTGCAGAGAGATAAGTTACATTCTGCTCTCGGAGTGTCGATGATGCCTCTGCAGCACTTACTGGGCAGCACCATGTGACTTGTTTGCTTTTGGGTAGTGTCTGATAACAAGTCTCAGTAAGGGAAGTTTCTAGAGAACAACCTGGACCTGCGTTTTTTCCCCTCATCTGCTCCCATAATCCCTCCAGAGCCAGGATTTGTCAGGCAGAGCTGGGTGGGAATCACTATTAGGACAGGCTGTCTTTTTTCTGACGTATTGAGATGTGTGACTTTTCATTTCAAAGTTTTTGTACAAGAAATATTGTGTTTGATTAATAAAGCGAATACAGTTTCTGTTTTTAGAAAACACCATGTTTGAACTGATCTCTTTTCATTTGGTTTTCAAAAAACAGTTGATAATACTGGACACTTTTTCAAAAGCTTGAAGCAAGTCCTTTCTGTGAGAATTAAGATGGTTCTGTTTTCTGTCAACCTTCTTTCATTGGGCATCATAACTGTTCTTTTTTATTTATTCTGCGTATAATGATTGCAGACAGTATAATGTAGAGTAAACTAACAACCACTTTGTGTACAGTTAGCCATTTCTTGTGCTGTTTTTCCTCTGTGAGGACAGATCGAAAATTTCATCTTTGTTTCTCTCAGTCTGCACTTTTCTTCTTAAATCAATTAACTGATCTTAATAGATTTCTATTTTTATTTCAAATTAAAAAAACAGAGGTAGGCTCAACTTTTAAGGTTGCGCTATATGAATTGGACCTCCCTTTCTGAAGCAATATCTTTCTTGTTTTAGCTAAGTTTTTCTTAACTAAGTTTCCTTGTCTCTTAAGGATATAATGAACAGTGAAAAAAGCTATGATTCATTACCCAACTTTACTGCTGCTGATTGTGAGTATGATCTAATTGCACTACTGCTTTTGATGAGTTGCAAATATGGAGCTTCTGAAAATAGATTTGTAGGGGGTCTGTTTGCTTGAACATAAATGCTTGAATAAAGGTTTAGAGCCATTTAAATAGCGCTGTCAGGGAGAGCATGCTCTTCCTGCAGACCTTTGTCCATGTGGTTGGCACTGGAGTTAGAATAATTTGGGTGCAAATAGATGCAGTAAAAAAACTACATCTTTTTTTTTCTTTTTTTTAAACACTGCTTTTTTGTTAGACCAGTGTGGGAATGAGAAGGGGAGATTAGGGGATGATGCCTGAGATGAGAGTAGAAAAGCAATCCTCCAGCAGAAGTGTAGCTTTTTCCATTGAACAGGCTGAAGGAGAATAGATTGGGAGTGAGACCCTGCTGAGAGATGTTACAGAGGAAAGCTGAGACTGCTACCATGGGGAGAGTGTTAATCAACCCTGGAACCGAGATGTTCTTGATTATTAAGTGCTTCATTCTTCACCTTTGGTATGGTTTTATGTATTCCCCTTCCTGAGTTAAGTGTACTTAGGTGAGGAGTGGTCTGCAATTTTTGAAAACCGTCTCAGGAAAGGGTAACTTAACTTTAATTCTACCCTTTCTCAAACTCCATTGGGAAAACAGCTCAGGGAAGGAGTTTTTTCCTCAGTGCTGTGTAGCTTGCTGGGAATCCAGTGTTTCTTGGAAGTATGGAAACAGAAGGTCCTTTCTTTTCCCCCAGAGCACTTCTGTTATTATAGCAGCAGTTGCAGGTTGGTTACAAAGTTATAATTAAGTTAAACGCTTTTGTTACCATTTTATATTAAAAACTAATGTCAAATTAGAAAGCTGAGATTGAAATTGAGAGAGCATATGAGCTAAACCCCATGAATAGTTTTCCAGTGCCCTTTCATAATTCCTTAGTGGTTGAAGACTAGAGATTGTAGAACTAAGTTATGATTCATTTTAACTCAGCCAGAAGGTAAGCATCTTCAGTGGCATTTGGTGTTCCAGTTTTCAATTTCCAGAGTTTTAATTTAGTGCATAGAGTTTTGCTGGTGGGATCTCTACCAAACACCTGGTACAATCTTAGTTATGTTAATTTGAAGCAGAGTTATTAGCTGAGAAGGAAGGGAGTTATTCTGTGCAGTGACTTGAGAGATATGGGATTCCTTATGTTCCTTTATTTATTTATTTGTTTGTTTTTAAACCTATACTGAATAAGCAACTAGGCATTGAGAACCATGTGTATCTGGAAACGATCGGTTAGAACTGTGTTTAACTCTTTAGATATCCCTCGACAGCACAGACAAAATAGAAATAAAAGCTTATCTATTTTTTTCAGGTTTGAGACTTCTTGGTATAGGAAGAAATCAGTATATAGATCTAATGAACCAATGTAGGTCTTCAAAAGTAAGTTTGTCTTTAATTTCCCCTCCCCCTGTGCTCTCTGTCCATGCATGTCATAATAAAGAGATTTTTAACTTTACTTCCCTCTTTATTTTGATTTATTCAGTTCTACATTTCTTTTATTTTCAGAAATATGTTTAATCTAGGGTACCTAAAGGGCTGTGCTGCCTTGCATCTTTGCAGTAGAAAGCGTAATAAATACTTTAAATTTGGGCTTTCTCCTAGCCTGTTTGAGTAATGTGGTTTTAATGAACACATGAAAATGGCTTATGTGAGTATTTAAGAATATTATATATATTTTCTTCCCATTTTATCCCATTTGAGGGAGGGGAGAACAAATTTGTCACTTAGTACAAGCACACACATGTTCAGAAACAAATATATACCTGTTCAGTGTGTGCGTATCATGTACTGTACTAAAAGGTACTTAAACATCAGCTTATGTAAAAGGAAACAGTGACATCTGTTTGCACATATGAAATGCTACTTATTACTATCTCAAATGGACTGTACTACTGCAGAAATTTTTCAGAAGGAAAACTGCTCGTGATCTGTTACCTGTGAAACCTGTGGAGATTGCCATAGAAGCTTGGTGGGTTGTGCAGTCTGGCTACATCACGGAGGATGATATCAAGGTACTTCAATATATTTTATATCTTCAATTTTGGTTGAAATGGAGAGAAACTGAGAGCCTCTGAAAATAGAGGCTTCCCTTTGTAAGATCTAAATGAAGACTGTATTACAGATTTATAATTTATATATTTTTATGGCAATAGAGATTGGGACTAGTGGAAGTTACCTATTGTTCCATTTGGCATATTCTGCCCTCTTCATTCTTTGTGCTTCTTGAGTTATGTACCATCAGGTAGTGCTGAGGTTGTTATGCATCAAGCATAACTGTAACTGATGTTTGTTCTTTAAATATGTAGGAAACAAATGACAATATCTTAAGTTCCATATTTAAGCTCCAACAACTCAATTGAATGAATCTTCACCTTCATTATAATTAAGAATGTTAGTGGATTTATTTGATGTCTTTTCTTCATTTCTCTTCCTCATGTCTCTTGATGTTTCATTGTTTGCACTAGCTTAAAAGGTCACTAAATGTTTCATACCCGTCTACTTCCTTCTCCAAGTTTGTCTGCTTTGGGGAATATCTTGGACACTGATTATTTCTAGACAGAAATTCTGACATCCCAGCAACTCAAAATAGTTAACCCGAAACTGGAATAGTTAACTCTGAAGCTGAAATTGACCTCTTTCTAAAATGGTTCCAGTTGTATAGTTGAACACTCAGTTCATAAGTTTTAAAAATCAAACATATTTTAAAAGAACAGACATGTATTTTGCTATGGCTTCACCTGCCAAATGCCTGAAGTTTGTTCAGTTAAATGCTGTGCCTTGAGCAAGAATAGCTTTGGGTAGGGGCAGGAGCAGAGATCTCGGACTAACACCGACTCCAACGAACTGTGCCTTGAGCGAGAATAGCTTTGGGTAGGGGCAGGGATCTCGGACTAACACCGACTCCAACGAACTCTTCCTCAGTGCAAGCATTTTGATGAAGAGCATTGTTGCTTCTTACACCCTGATATCAATTGTGACCAACTTGAAACTATTGTGCTGTAATTTCAGATACTGATAGACTGATTTCTGCAACAAACTAACATAGTTTCTTTTATCTAGATTTGTACCACATCTGAGAAATCTGCTGTTGATAAGATAATTGATTCAGGTCCTCAGCTTGCTGGTTCACTAGACTTCAGTGTAGTTCACAGTAAGTGTATTATCATTGTGGTTTTTCTGTTTGTGGATTTTGTTCTGTGAATTTTGAGATTAGTGTCTGAAAGTCAGTAGTAAATAGGATGTGGAGCATAAAAGGATGTGGGGGGAAGATATTCAAGAGCTCGTACAGACTGCAGTCTAGGTCTTGCCTAGACCTTTGGCAACTGTTGCTCTGTTACTGTTTAAAATGATTCAAAAATTGATTCAACAAATTCCTACCATAGAACATGACAGTAAAGATTTTGTAGGGGGTAACGGGAAAGGATATGAGAATACAAAATGTCAGTGTTAATAATCTAAAACTCTATCTTTCAAAGAAGAGGTTTTGAAATTTAGTATTCTTTGGACACAATCCAAAATAGGACTTAAACCTCAGAGGCTGTCTTGTTTCTCTGAGGTCTGCAACTGTTGCTGAAAAACTGCCCATATGTCTCCTCGTTTAAGTATAACAAGCGCTAGATATATGGGGAAAGATATTGCCAGGGGAGCACAAATTCACCAACAACCTCTCAGAACTTCACTTGTAAATGTTTGGTTTTCTACAAGCAGTCAGGTTGAGAACTGGCTGGATGGTTAGCATTTTGCTGTGGTTACAGCTGTGCCATGGGCTAAGTGTGTGTGTTGAAGCATCATGATAATTCATCTTCCAGAGTTGAATAACATTTCACCTGAGGATATTTATTTACCTTCCTCTCTGCTATACTGAGTATGATGTAGGTGGACTGATGTTGGGTGGCATCAAAGAAGCAATTGAAAATAAATTGAGCCAATTTTATATTTCTGTGCTCTATTATTGGAGTACAGCTATTACAGAACATTAAGATAATGACACTGAAATATTTGAAATATTTTTTCCTTCTTTAAGGAAGGATTATCTGCTCAGCAGAGCTAAGCTGAATGCTGAGAGCTCAGGTAGTCTCTTATGGGACTAAACTGACATTTAAAATCTACCCTGCCTTTACTGTATGCGTGTGTCTGTGTCTGGTGCACCTGATGCCTTGAGCACAAGTGCTCTAGAATTTATTTTTGTAGTTAGATTAAACACTTTCCATGAAGGATGCATGAGGACCATCAGAACTCACGTGATTTAGGTTTTACCCTCTGTGAAGAATGTTCAAGTTCCAGCCTGAGTTAGGGCAGGATTGAAGTGGGGCCAACACCTTCAGCTGACAAACTTAGTCCAGGGTTAAAAAGTTTCAAACTAATCAAGTTCTTTACAGCACAGTGGCAATGGCTAAAGCCAAATTCTCTTTCAGGCAGGGACGTGCTCCTCTCTGCCAAAAGCAGCTGCTTCAATCCCTGGTCATTTTGTCTTGGTATTTTCTACTCACTCTCTATTTTGCTAGTAGTAGATGCTGAGCTCCTGAAGTCTTGTACCAGGTGGCAAGTAAAGAGCTCTGTTTTGCTTGGGATATGTTTAATATTACATGCTGTTTATTGATCCATGCATTGCAAAGTAATATGCTACTGTGGAGGCTGTTAAGTTTTTATGAATTCTCATTGACTGGTGGGGAAGCTGACTTGTATCATTGGTACCCTGAATAATGTTCTTTTTTTTTGTAAAATGATGTGCTTTTTTTTTGTAAAGGCTTGTATAACAAAGGATTTATTTACCTCGATGTACCAATATCTGATGACAGCTGTATAGCAGGTAACTAAATAATTTAATGTATAATACCTGTCTTTTCTTAGATTAATTTAATTTATCCTATAATTGTTTTTCTTGGAGGCTGCTTGTCTTTGCACATGAGTTTGCTTAAACAAATTGCTGAACTATGAGAATTTATCCTAATTAATTTTTTTCAAGTATATTAAAACATTGTCTTTATGGTATTTAGAGTTTATTTCAATATAAATTCCATTTTTTAATATTTTATATACATAGTTACATAAAATGAGATACTCTTAAAGACTTAGGACTTGATTTAATAAGTAGCCTTCTATATGTCTGTAACAAAAAGGAAGAATAAAGAAATGCAGTTGGCTTGTCAAAAGGCCATGGGTTTTGACTCCTGTTTTCTAGAAAAGTACTTTTTTTTTTTTCTTTTTTAATAGTTATCAGTTCTATCCTTCATAGTCGTCACCTCAATTCGTTGTGTGCTAGATACACAGGAACATAAACTATCACAGCATGTGGCTACCCTTCAAACAACTCCTTATATTCTACTAGCTCTCAGGGGTTCTGAGCTCAGCATAATGCACAAAGACCTTCTTGATTTGGAACCTGGCCGTGCAGAAGTACCTCTCACTGCTGCAGTAGAGAGCTGTAAAGCAAAAGTGCTCCAAAGACTAGAGCTACTGCATAGAAGCGAGCTCTGGGATTCTCAACTGTGGAGGTTTTTTTTTTTTTTTTTTTTTTTTTTCTCTCATTAGAACCAAGATATACTCTCCATTCATGTGACAAAGCTGGTGTTTTTTCTATAAATCTTTGAGCCAGGTAACTGGGAATTATCTGTAGTGGATAAGCTGGAGTCTACAAGACTGATGCAAGACAGTGGCTTTAGTTCTTATAGGAAAGAAAATAGTGATAGCCATTATTTCTCTAAATATGATGGGAGAATTTTATGTGTAAATTCTGTATAAATCACTTTTCGATTTTTTTTTTCCTGATGCTCTGGGAAAACCTTAAATTGCAGACATCATGAAAACTAAACAAATGTAAATTTATTTTCCTGATCTTAAATTGATTAAAAAAAAAGGTGACCAAATTGTAATCTTGCAAGTAATTATTTTCAGTGCCACCACTTGAAGGTTTTGTGATGAACAGAGTGCAAGGTGATTACTTTGAAACTCTCCTCTACAAGATATTTGTTTCAATAGATGAGCACACTAATGTGGCAGAGGTAAGTAAAAATCTAGCTTATGTCAGGGAGGCAGGAGAACCCGAAAGGGCTCAAAGTACATTGGGGAAATGCTGATGGAAGAGATATGGAGAAATAGCAACTGACTTGGTTTAGAGGTATCATGAGGTTTGGAGGATTTAAGATCCAAACTGTTTCTTTAATCTTGGGTGTAACTTCCCATTCTACAAACCAAGTGTGTGCCGAATATATAATCAGTGAAGCAGCTCCATCAGCAGGAGTGAATTTGTACAGGGTTATACATGTTGACCATTTTATTCCTGTTAAAATTGGAATAGAGTCTAGTTTCTATCTGTCCTAAGCAGATTGGTTCTGTATAGCTAATGTGATTAAAAAATAATAAAAAAAAGAAATTTCCAATATTGAAAGCATGCAGGGAGCTGGCTTAAAGTAGGAAAAATAATTTTTTACACAAGTATTTATAACTTTAATGAGAAATGTGTTTTTAGGGTCCAATTCTTAAAACTGTGTAAGTTGGTTTCTGAAAAAATAATTGTTAAACAGCTGGAATTTATTTTCATCTTTGCATGCCTTCAGATAAAAATGATTAGTCCAGAAATTGCACAGTTGTATTTCTTTTGCATGCTTTGAGGTGGAACAGTTATGAGATGTCATCCCCTTTTTCCATTACTTTTGATGAAGGTAAAATTCCCCCTTCTAGTACAGGTTGTATTTTAAAACACTAATCCTTTCCCCTGTGCCCCTTAAAAACTCACAAGCAATGTGATACTTTGGATTGTTTTTCCTGGATTATTGATTCTTTGTTTTTCCTTTTTAGCTTGCAAATGTTCTAGAGATTGACTTATCTTTAGTAAAGGTATGTATGTATATATGTGTTTATGTATAATCCACCTATCATTTGATGTGAAATGTTCGGTCTTGTAAACTGACTTCATAGATGAAGTTTTTTTATGTAGTTACTTACTGTATTTATGTGTGTTTCTTCAGAATGCTGTGTCCATGTATTGTCGATTAGGCTTTGCACATAAAAAAGGCCAGGTAATAAACCTGGATAATCTTCATCCGTCGTGGAAGAACGTTCCTTCGGTAAACAGACTGAAGTAAGTATCTCCGTTCTTTCCCAAAGCTCCTTTTTCATTGAAGAAAAAAAAATAGAATTTAAATATGAGTATAGACCTGTATAGACCTTTTGAATTCTGCACTAAGCAATCTCATTTGGCTTTCCAGTATACATAATTTAGCTTTCTGATATACATAATGAGAAGAATACTTGGTTATGTCTGTAATCAGAGGATAAGGAGGGGTAAATTACCTTGCAAGTTCCATGTACTTGCTATTACTTAGTGTTGGCTTTTTGACCTTTAAATGCACAGCAGTTCCTCCCTCTTGAGGTAGACAAGCATGAATTTGCTTTAATATCCTGGGGTCTGAAAGAACAGCCACTGAGGTGGTCCAGACACAGTGTCTCTTGATGCTGCTGTCAGTGAAAATGCACATTTGCTTGCAGGGAGGTAGCGTTGTAGTTCTGCCATTGGCAACCTGAAAAAACTACTGTGTGTGTGTGTGTGTGTGTGCGTGTGTATAAAATACAAGCATACACAAATATATACGCATATGTGTGTGTATGTATAAAATCCTGGGGACATGATGTTAATCCTAGTCAGAAACAAGCTCTCTTAGGTAATGCAATCTGTCTCTCCACCTCAGGAAATGTAAAGCACTTTGTTCAGTCCTATTGTTATTTGTCCATTAAAAAAAAGGTATCTTGACCTTTTTTTGATGTTGATTGGAGTGTTGGGCCAAAGGGAATTAGATTTTTCCACTGGATTTTTCTTCTTCAGTAATAAAAAGGAAATTCGCTTGGAATAACAAAGAAATTCTGTTGTAATCTATGACATCATCTAAAGGCTTTGGGGTTTTGTGTTTAATATTTTTAGGAATTTTTTTAATTAAATAAAACAATTTTTTGTTGTTGTTGTTCTTTATTAGCTGACACAGCCAGCGTGAGCAGCCTGAATCTGTCTAGTGGGCACCCAAAGCGTATTGCCTTCCTCTTCGATTCCACTCTCACTGCCTTTTTAATGATGGGAAATCTTTCACCAGTATGTCAAAATTGTTCATCTCTTATGCTAAGAACAGATATATAAAAAGTTTAAAATACCTTGACTTTAGTAAAATACAGCTTTGTTTATTTTAGAAAAAGTCATATTAATTGCTTAGCGAATAAGGAATGTGTTTGCTTAATAAAAACTTCTGCTTGTCCGTTTTTTCCTTCTCAGGGAATTAAGTCAGTTTTGTTGTTTCAGAACTTGAAAAGTCATGCAGTCACCATGTTCGAAGTTGGGAAGCTCTCAGATGAGTCTCTTGACAGCTTCTTGGTAGAGCTGGAAAAGGTAATCCTTTACATGCATGGCCAAATATATTTTCAGAACTTAACTATAAAGGCAAGGAAAAAAAAGCCCTCCGTTTTCTTCTTATAGGGCTGCTTTAGGAGCCCCTTTGAGCAATTCAGCAGTAGGAATAGGGAGTAGGAGTAGAAACTTGACCATGCTGAATCCAAGTAGTCCAGCTAAATTTTTGTTATTCCTCACGTTTATGCCTGCAGTGGCTTTGAGGAAGGCACTGTATGTGCGTGAATGTGAAGTACCTGGTGAGCAAAGTGAGCTCAAGAACTGCATTTGTGCAGTTCTGTGTATATATCTACCTGCATTAGGGCTTGTTAAATGGAAATCACTTTATTCTGGTGAGATCTTACTATTATTGAAGAAAGGTGGAATTTTTTTTTGTAGAGAAAAAATATGACCAAAATGACCAACTATTTGCTGGAATGTTGAACCTATCATCTTTTTTTAAAGACACGTCCGCTGTTCTTAAACGATGAAGTAGAGCTTATGTTGATTACAGTATCCTTTTTTTACTAGACGTGGTGACCAAATGTTTAAAGATTGGTATTTTTTTTAACCTAAAGACTTGAATGATTTTTCTAATTTTTAGATGCTGTCTTTGCCTACTTTTGAGTGTTTCACTTAAGCCTTGGCTGAGAGTCACTGTTTAGTTAATAGTCCCTATAAATCAACCTTGCCTGCAAGCTGCAGAGTTGTTATGCAATTACAGGTCTTTAAAATGCTGATTTGTTAGTTTTTCCATTTGTGTAATTGATGCTTGTATAAACAGTGTGTCACTTGTGAGCATTTATTTGCTTGTTTAGGTTCAAAGCACAGGTGAAGGGGAAGCCCAGCGGTACTTCGACCATGCGCTTACGCTGAGGAACACGATCCTGTTTCTGCGACATAATAAAGACCTAGGGGCACAAGCTGTGCAGCCTGAGCAACCAAGTAATGGTACTGTGAACACTTTCTCATCAGAAAATCCTTCTAAACTTGTTTACTTGCTTGCTGGTCAAGCTGGAATTTCAGAAAGCAATCAGTAATTTACACAGTTGAAAAAATGCAAGGCAAAACCTTACACTTCTTCATCCTTTGAGCCTGCTTTGTTTCTGTGATGAATGACAGTTCTGGTTGCACCTGTGGTTGCACAGGTATGGACTTACATCTGGAGCAACAGATTAAAGCTACCAAGGCAAGACAGGCTGCACTTGAGGAAGGGATTGTTTTCAAATCATTCAATTCCGAAGACTGATAAAGGAGTTGTTAGGCAAAGTTGTTTCTTCAGAGAAACATTTTCCAAGTCACGTAAGGGAGTATGTTTTATAATGCAGGTAGATACTTTTTAGGTCTTGCCTATCTGTTTTCATCAATATATCCGTGTGCGTTTGTTTCCTGGGATCAGTCAGTGAGAAGCAAGTGCTGGTTCTGTGCCAGAAGAGCCCATATGACTGGTATTGCTAAAATTGAAGTGAATTTTAATAAATGTGTAAATTTAAAACTTAACTGTGGGGAATACTGTTTTCATGACTCAGCAGGGGGAGAATAGAAAATCTCAAGCAATCTTTGGGTTGTATGCTTCCTCTCAGCTGATGTTTTAAGCATCTTGCATTCTTAACTTAGGCTTTCCTTTGGATCTCTTACGATGTGAGAGCTTGCTCGGCTTGGATCCAGCTACCTGCAGTAGAGTTCTCAACAAAAATTATACTCTGCTGGTGTCCATGGCACCACTCACCAATGAAATCCGACCTATCAGCAGCTGCACACCCCAGGTGAAAAAATACTGGGAAAAAACAGAATCTAATACTATCGTACCTTCTTCATAGCTTTGTTTTAGAGAAGTTTGAGATGTCCCTTTTGAGAAGATTTACTTATTTGCATGCAGAAGAGTATTGCAGTTCATCTGAAAAACAAGTGTTTAGTGAATGAAATGGGAATACTTATTATGATTGCTTTTATTTAATCTATTAACAACATATCAGCTCAAGTAGGATTGATGACAGGTTCTGTGCTGGAATTCATATTCTTAGAACTTCCTTACCGTCATCTTTCATAGATAGTCCTCCTGTACTGGACAAAGTACCTAGACTATCATTTTTACTTAGAAGGGTAAATTCATACAATTAAACCTTGTACAGCAGAACTAGATTTATAAGTATATATATTTTTAAAATAGTTGATTCCTAAATTACATCTGTACATTTAAAAGTTGCAGTTTCAGGCTATTTCCAATTTCTTGGATAATCTCTCTTCAGCACATTGGACCTGCAATCCCCGAAGTCAGCTCAGTTTGGTTCAAACTGTATATTTACCATATAACTGGACAAGGACCACCCTCTCTCTTGCTCTCTAAAGGAACCCGTCTTCGAAAACTCCCAGAAATTTTTCAGGTACTGTATTCATGTTTTTTTCTTTTTGTTTTTCTCCCTCCCCTTTCCAGATGTTTCAGGTGTATGTTTTACACTAAAGCATTTGGTGGTAACAGTGGAAGTCAGAGGTATAAAGTACTGTAGATGGAGTGCCTTTCTTAAAAGCAAAGGTCTTAGGTCTTCCCGGCCCAGCAGCCTGTCTCTATCTGTAAGTAGGTGCCTAGGAAGTAAAATTCCAGTATATAATAATTAAGTCTTAAGACTTTTCCAGCCTCCCCATTTTTCTGGTCAGAGAACTCCCCGAACTGTATGTGATGCAGTATGTTTAGAGGCTGTCACTGGAATTTCTACTGATGCACTGTTCACCTGCCAACCTGGGGAGGAATAACCCCAGGCACCAGTACAGATTAGGGGTTGACCTGCTGGAAAGCAGCTCTGCAGAGAGGCATTTGGGAGTCCTGGTTGACAACAGGTTAACCATGAGGCAGCAATGTGCCCTTGTGGCCAAGAAGGCCAATGGGATCCTGGCTGCAGCAGGAGGATGTTGCCAGCAGGTGGAGGGAGGGGATCCTGCCCCTCTGCTCAGCTCTGGTGAGGCCGCACCTGGAGTATTGGGTGCAGTTCTGGGCTCCCTGGTACAAGAGGGACATTGAGCTTCTAGAGAGGGTCCCGCATAGAGCCATGAAGATGATTAAGGGAATGGAGCATCTGTCGTGTGAGGAAAGACTAAGTGAGCTGGGCCTGTTTAGTCTGGAGAAAGGAAGGCTGAGAGGAGACTTGATCAACATGTTCAAGTACCTGAGGGATGATTGTAGGGAGGATGGGACCAGGCTCTTCTCGGTGGTGGCTGGTGACAGGAAAAAGGGTAATGTTTGCAAGCTAAAACACAGGAAGTTTAATCTCCACATGAAGAAGAACCTCTTTCCTGTGAGGGTGACAGAGCCCTGGAACAGGCTGCCCAGAGAGGTTGTGGAGTCTCCTTCTCTGGAGATCTTCCAAACCCGCCTGGATGCCACCCTGTGCCACATGCTCTAGGTGTCCCTGCTTGAGTAGGGGGGTTGGACTAGATGATCTCTAGAGGTCCCTTCCAACCTCAGCCATTCTGTGATTCTGTAAAGAAAGCTTCCTTACTGAGCTGGATTTTCAGTGTGTTGATGAATCAATCAGATTTTTTTTTGTGCTAAATGATCTCACATTCTGTATTATCATGAATTTACCGGAGACTTTTTTTTTCTTGCGTGCAGTCATGATTTTTTTTTTCCTGCCACTGTTTTGCAATGTCATTTTCTTAGGGAACCATCAACTTCTAGAGCCATTACAGAGAGAGAAAGTAATTCAGTCTTGAAAACTAAAAACCTGACATTGTTTCCTTCTCAGTATCTTTCTCTCCCTGTCTCTTCCTCTCAGAGAGGTATTTTTAGGGGGTGATAAATCTTTACTCTCTTTTTGTTAGTGTTAGTTTTATCTAGTATATATTTTGCTTTTCAATTTACGTGGGATTATTTTCTCCTATTTGCTAGGAGGCAGCTGCGATGGCCACATAGGTCTTCAGGGGTTGGTGACAGACACCTGCTGTTCAAACTAGCACCTTAACTTTGAGGTTGGCAAACTTCTGTCTATACCAAGAATATGACCATGAGTGGTCCTTGGTACAAAGTATAATGCTATAGAATTATAATGACCTGTGGCAACTTCCTAATTGTAACAATATGTTGTTAGCCTAACGATAGTATTTTACTTTTTATGCTCGGATAATCTGTTACTACTGTAAATAGTCTTAATTTCTGTCCTGTAGGGGTATGATCGCTTGCTAATAACGTCTTGGGGTCATGACCCGGGAGTGGTTCCTACTTCGAACGTGCTCACGATGTTGAATGATGCTTTAACACATTCTGCTGTTCTAATTCAGGTACAGAGTGCTCTGTCTAAATGATAAACGTGTAATTTTGAATAAAGCTGTTCCACAGCATAGGGTATTAAGAGTGTAGGAGAGCTGCGTTTCTTTGTCAAAACTTGCAAAGTGTGTTTAGCTTCTGCAGCTAGTGCTGCTCTGATTAAATGGTGGTGAAGAGTGTCTTTGATTAATGAGAACACTGGATGAATGAGAATATCCAATAAACAGATGCAAACCAATATGGCCAGGAAGCTTGACTGAAAGGCCAGTTCCTGATAAGCAAGGTAATTCTTAAATCTTTACATACACATACATACATATACACATATCCTTTTACATATATAAATATGCATATAAAACTTTATACATCTAAAATTTGTGCAGTAGTTGTTTGGGGCTACAGCACAACTTTGTGTTGGGGTGATGCAGCCAGTAGCAGCTCTTTGCTAGTTTGTGTATTACTTTGTCACAGACTTACAGAGTAGAATAAGGTAGCTTTGTAGGTACTGTTATGTAAGAAATGCATTTTTTCATAGAGCTTAATATTCAGCTCTTACAGCACAACACAGTTCAAATAATTCATGACTGTGAAAAGCAAAACATGCTCTTTATCAGAAATCTTGGAAATAGAGAGGGTTTGTCCCATTACAACCAGGGGAAACTAAATTGCTTTTCCTATTTTATCAATCCAAGTGAACTCTCAGAGAATTAATCATTCAAATAAATAGACATTTAATATTGTAACAAATGTAAAATTGCATGGTAAAGGCCCACTTGTAACAGCCTTGATTGCTCAAAAATTTTCCATGTTTAGGGGTATAAATTCCATTATTTTACTGTTTTGAAATGCACTATGATAACAAGCTTTGTTTGAAACTCATATTTGTAGAAGAAAAGTTGTTTTCTTTACTGAAGTTTAGCTTCATGGCATTTACTCTCATTCATTTAGTGGGGAGGGTAGGATTTTTACATAGTTACATATTACAGTTCTTGGGTTAGCTGAAACTTACAAAATTAAGCTTGAGTTATAGTCTGTCTTAAAAGGAAACACAAGTAGAACAAAGCTAAACTTATGGTTATATTTTTTTGTTGTTTATTTAAATTTCTTGATATTCAGGGACATGGAATGCACGGAATGGGGGAAATCATGCACATACCTTTTCCATTTGATGAAGCTGAGCAGCAGGGAGGTAACTGCCTGTCTTGAATGTGATCTTTACACCACAGTATTTACTTTTCTTACTTTTCTTACCTTATACAAGATTACAATAATTCCTTGAATGCAAATTTTCTTGCAATTACAGTTTTAAGTTGAGTGAGTAAATGAAAGAATGTTTAAATTTTTGCCAAGTATCCTCTGAATTTAGAGATATACAGTCTTCTGCTTTCTACATTCTCTGTCCTAGTAAGAATGTAATTTCTGGCTCCTCTTCTCTCCAGCATAGAGGCAAAAAAGTAGCTTCCTTGCTACCTACATCTTTCCTTGTACCTACTTACGAACCATATAAGGCTACTTATAGCCTTTAGTGAGCCTTTAGCAAGGCTCACTTCTTTTCAGTCTTAACTAGAAAACAGATTAGAACAAAACCTGAAAACCTTAGGAACTACCATGCAAGAGTTTTTTCTTGCCAGGAAGAGCTGCTCTAGCAAGATCTCCTGTTTTCCAAGGGGATCCTTTTTTTCCAAGGTCTCTGTCTAGCTCTGCAGAGAGCCACTCTGGCAGTGGAGGAACTGAACATCAGTGGGTTCTAGCTGAACTTTGCCATATCTGTTGAATAAGTGTGTGTGTGTGTGTGAGAGAGAGAGATCATCTTTGCCCTTTTTTTTTTCCCTCCTCCACAATTTTACTGTAATAATAAGATATTAATGGGTGTTTGATGTGCTGAGGCAGTGTTCAGTTGTGTTATCCAGCCTCTGCAGTGTAATCACTAACTTGGAGAATTGCAAGAGAGAGAAATCTACATAATAAGAAATTTCATCTTGCTTGGAAGTGAACTATATGGCTATGGAGGGGGCTTCTTGTAAGATAAATGAAGTATATGTTTTCTTTTCTCCTAGACTTCTCTCGTGGGAACATGGGCATTCATACAGCTTTGAGAATATTGCGAAACAAAGTGGATTTGCAGCATTTTTGTGGCTATGTCACTATGTTGAACCCTACAAGTCGACAGGCTAACAGAAAGCTGAGTGATTCTTCTGATGGAAGAGGTTAGTTACCAGGATTTTTCTTCTCTGTGTTCTTTTTTATTTTTTAATTAGCATGCAATCACTTCAGCAAAGTGAAATGAAGGATTTCAGTTCTTTGATTTAGAAGTCCACAAAATATGTTCAAACACATCTAGAAATCCATCTTAACTGTAAATCTCTTAGCAATTGACGTGCTAAATTATCACGTGTGAGTAGTTTAAAAACATCAAAGAATGGCTGAGAATTACTGAACTAAAACATTCAAAGGAAGAATAAAAGAGTCATTTTAAAGTATTAAATGTAAATTGTGTCATTTTTTATATACCAAAACTTTTTTTTTCCTCATGAATGTGAGGATTTCAAAGCTGTTTCTTAGTCTTAAGAATAATTAAGGTCCTGTGTCCTTAGCCCTTCTCAAGGTTTATCACATTTGCACAAAATTTGTAAAGTTCCTTAAATCACATAATAACTAACTCTATATCAGTTAAATATTTACAAAGAATTGTCTTGCTTCTAGGAGAGGCTGAGCTAGCATCAGGATCTGATGTAAATGGGAGTACAGAATCATTTGAGATGGTAATAGAAGACACTTCAATGGATTCTGCAGTCAAGCAAAGCCCCGACGGTAAAAACTTTACAAATGGCTTGGACTGACTGAAAGTTTTTAGCCCAATCAGAAATCTTGTCTTTAAGGATCTGAACACATTACGCTGCTTGACAGTATCTGGAATAGGGCAACAATGTGTTCTTCCTCCCTCAAAATTCCCATTGCCTTAAAACTTTCACTTAAAACACGCTCTACATCAGAGAGAACCAATGCTGGGATCAATATTCCTGGTTTGTCTTTTCTTGAACTTCGGTTGTCTCTTGTTTTTCCTCCTGTAGTACCCACAACAGAACTGGAATGGGTTCCCCTGGAATTATGCTTTGGCATTCCACTCTTCAGCTCTGAGCTGAATCAGAAAGTCTGCAGAAAAATTGCCACTCATGGATTGTGTAGAAAAGAAAGGTGAGCGTTGGTGCTGGTTTGCCAGGTTCTTTCTGTTTCGTCCAGAGCTTCTGCCAAAAAATGATTCCTACAGCTGTATAAGAGCAGAACTAAGCCAAGTTTCATGGAGCAAAGAAATTTTGAGTGTGTTTGTGGGTAGTGTCACTTTCACACTCAGAGATACCAGATACAATTTAAACATTAGTCTGTTTTGTAGTATTTCTGAGGTGAAAAATGAATTATGGTAAACCGTTGATACACAGCTCAAAGAAGCACTCCTGGAATACCTTCCTGCTCATTTCCCTCTACTGGCTTAGATTCTCCTTTTTCCCTCCCCTCCATCAAAATCATCCTTTGTAAAACCTTGATGTAAACGTATTTAGTTATTGTGGATTTTTTTTTTTCTTTTAGTAACTTATTTGCTAAGTTTTGTGCTGTCTTATGTTTGAGAGCTTCAGTTTTTCACCATAACCTACCTTGATAGATGTCTGTTTTCTAAGAATGAGAATCCATTGATTTACATCCCCACTTCCTCCTAAAAAAAATCTTATAATTGTTCCTGTTGTTATCAGCATTAGGAGGTTTTGTCATGTGATATTATGTAGCACGAGTTATTTTTAAGTTATTTACCTGGATACTTTTTTTCCCCACAGTAATGTTAAGGCACCTTAAACGATTGGGTATTGATGGTGTGTGCTTTTTATTTGCTTTATTTATGCATGCCTTCTCTCTTCTGTTTTTGACAGCCTTCAAAAACTCTTACATTCCAGTAGAAAGCTATCTCTACAGGTCCTTAATTTTGTTCATTCATTCCAGGTAAGGAGCAGCAGTCAAGCTGTAAATCATTCTGCATGGTCTATAACTGCTTTTTTGGCCCTTTTTCTTGCTATTCTTTACTGTGGTTTGGTTTATTTGTGGTGAGTTTGTTTGTTTTCTTTATATGGTGACTGTATTAAGAACACCATGAAATTTTACTGATAACGAGTATTTCCTTACCTTCTTCCTTATTTAATCTTTGTCTCTCAACTTTTGTGTTAGTTTCTTGTTTGTAATTCGTGGTGGTGTTTTTTTGTATGGAATAGGCACAGCAAAATATCATTAAGCTTCATTAACATAAATTTGATACAATTATACTTTTGCATTTGACCTCAAATTCTCTAGTACTTTGTGATGAATGAGTGCTAATAAATAAAGCTATTTACCTTGTTTGGAGGATTTTTAAGAATATGGATATAGAGAATTGATGCCTTAACGTTTCTGCTTGGTTTCTGTGCAAGCCTGTAGCTGCTACAGTTTTATATGGCACTGTGTGCCAGCAAGCAGTGTCCACATGTAAAGTAGACTAAAGGAAAACTATTCAGTTGCTTTTGTTTTGTGATACTTTGGGTCATTTTGTCAAAATGATACTGGAAAATTTCAATCACAAGAGCTGTACGAGGACAGTCTGAAGGAGAAGACAGCAGTCAAAGAGTAAGATCATATATTAGGCCTTTTTGTGGAGGGCAGTTGAAAGTAAATCCAAAATCTCTTCTTCCTTGCAGAGTAGACTTTTAAAAGGATTTAAGAGTCTAGCACTGGTGGGGCAGGACGTAGTTTTCTTAAATATTTTTGGAATCTGCTGAGTAGCTTTATTGAATAAATGAACAGATTCTTGGTTGTGGCACCATTTCACAAAGAGCTAGACTGGGGTGTAGTGAAATCACTAGATACTTTTGGATATTGGGAGTGTAATGTTGCCAAGTTTCTTTCCTAATTTTTAAGCCTCAGATTTCCCTGAAGATTTCTTTGAACCCGAATAGCCCACTTAAAGATGTAGTGGAGGCAATTATATGTTTGCTTCATATTTTCCTCTGTTTAGTCTGCTTTTACCTCTATAATGGTTTGATGTTCATTGGCCATGAATTAACACTTCAGAAACGCTAAATTGTATATCAGCAGATTAGCTGAGCTCATCATATTATAGCTCTTAAATCCTTCTTTGTTTCTCTTTTTGTTTTTAAAACGTTTTCTTCCTTTTGTTTTTAGGAAGGTACTCCAACACTGGATCAGTTTCCGGATCCCAGCTCTTCAAGTTCACTTTTGCAGCCGACTTCTGCGGATTTGGGTGTTCCCCTTCCTGCGAAGAATCTCGTGTTCAGAGAAGGGGTATTATCCGAATGGAATGGACGGTCCCCTGCCTCAATTTTTATTTCGACCACGGCTAAGGAGCAGGTCAAATAAATAGGGATTCTTGTGCGTTGATCACTAAATGCCTTTCTTCAGTTAATTTATAGTGCCAACCACTAAGAAGTGTACTGCTGCTGCAGCATAATCCATGTGAAAGTAGTGTTACAAAAACGTCTTGTGTTGCAGTACTGGGGAAATGCTAAACTGTCCAGAACATGTTACTCATTACTGCATATCTTGCTGCAACAGAGAGCTTTTTAGCTGTCAGCACTGTATTTTTATCTTGAGACAATCTTTGTTTTATAACTAAACACGCCCTTTCTAGGCTTTCTGATTGTTAAATTTCTATGCCGTCACCACAAAATTGCAATAGTAGTTTTCTATGTTCGTTACTCAGACATAAATTTTGTTTAGTTTTATACTGTATTACTGAAAATCTTTCTGTATGAAGGAAAGAGATTTGGCTCTTCTGCTGAAAGCTCAGTGATACCAACTATTTAAAAAAATGTATCATGATGATATGGGGCATTGAGAATTGTTGAATTATGGAGTTCAGCTTAACATTGAGGCCTTGACGAGTTAGCACAATAGAAGGGATTCCTTCCTTATAGAAGGCCGAGTTGGTGCAGACTCGATGTCCTGCTGACGACTTAAGGCCACTCTGAAAAGAGTGATGCTGTTTCATCTTTGGCACAATTTAATGGAAGTCTGGAATTATGAGAAGCTGAACTGTTTGGCTCTCTTCCTGAGGTTCTATTTAATAATGGATTTGTATCACTCTTTGTATGACACAAGGACTTCTGGAGACTTGAGCACAATGGGAGTAGTCCTTGTTATCTGAAATTGATGATGATTGCTGTGAAAAATGTTTGATGTCATAAATTGACTTTAAGGTAAATAAATAGATCTGTTCCTGTTGATTAATGTTTGACTGAAAGAACAGAGCTCTTAATTTTCATGTGAATGTCATTAGCGAAGGCAGATAACAGCAGGGGATCTGTAGGCAAAGGCTTCTCTGAATCTATTTTCCTGGAACCATTAACTGTTCATGATAACAACCGTTAAA